TAAAACGAAAGTTATATAGAAAAGCATATAAGAATATTAGAACTAGCGTAAAATGAACAGGCGTCGCGACAGTGCACATGTCGGGTGCAACTTAAAAAGGTGGAAAATCCCTAACGTAAAAAAATTAGTCGCTAGTAACTGTGACACAAAATCTTGAATCCTAAACCTGTTCTAAAATTTCACGTAGAGTCACGATACCAGTGAAAGGTAGTTCGTTCTGTACAGTTAGCTACAAACGGTTAGCTACAAATTTTAGAGTAAACGGAAAGCTCCATAAGGATCATTTTGGTGCCACACGACAAAGGAATTTTTACTAACTCCGAAGTTTCAACTGAACAACAAACGACAGTTGTTGTAGGGTGAAATAGTGGAAGAAATAAATTGGATCGGAATGTCTCTGCACTCAAAATCAATGCATCGAAAAATAATTGTGTGGAGCAGAATCAAAATGATTCTTTAATGCCATGACAGCTCCATGACATGATGTATCTGTACCAACATGTTTCTGGCACCATCGATCAGATCGCCCGGAGATCGTGTTAGGAAGCAATTCCATACGGCGGGTAGCGAAGACTGTGTGCATCCCATCTGACGTCCGAGCTTCATCGTGTTGTTAAATGCTAGCATCGGGTTGGTAATGACTTGGTGATAAGAAACGTCAGCGCCACTCATCGCAACGGCGGCATGAAACAAACCTAAATGACGAGAACCATGAGCTGGAAGCACAAACTGAACCGACAAAAACTCACAGTAGTTGTTAGTTCGAACTGCCTATGAGATCTGCCACCAGCGACTGATGCAATACCCAAGAAAAGCGCGGTCTCACTGAGACAATGGGATATGAGATGCGCGAAGTAAATCCATGTACGCTTCTAGCATATTTCGACATAAGACAGTCAGTAGCAAGTGGTTTTCGGTGGTCCGTGTCAGGCCCAGCACATCCGCTAGAGCAGCAGAGATGATCAGCACTCACTCATTTCCAACCATGCTGTATGCAAAGTATTCTCCAACTACGACGGCACAGCCGCATCAAGAACGAACAATGTGCTCACGACCATCGCTCTTAGTAAACTATTAGTAAAGCTGAAAGACCGGCGTCTGACATGCAACCGCTCAAAACGACAAAAATTTGTCAAAAAGTTTTCTAATATGAGAGCTGCTCATTGGCCAGAGAGGAGATGAGAACAGTACGAAACGCCAAAGTACTTTGCCGAGGCAAACCCGTTTGCGAAAAAGAATAGAACTATGAACAGAAACAAAAATAAATCTGAGACACCGTATCATACGAATCAGACAGGTCAGATACACAAAAAGTATGCTGCAGCGCATTATGGATGTTGCCAAATGTCGAACTACACGAAAATAAGACAATCCATAGAAGTTTGGGTCCTCATGGCAACTCTGCTTCAGTGGAATAAAGCAAAAACAACATTTTAAACAAACAAAGCGACTTCGTACCTGCCGAAGGTTTCATGAGCATGTGAAGACCAACGCTGGCGGCACCGGCTCCGTGGCCAATAATGGTTACTTGACCAGCATCGCCATTGAACGCGTATATATTGTCACGGACCCAACGCAATATCATTGTTTGATCCATCAATCCGTAGTTTCCAGTGAACTGATCCCCAAGACTCAGAAATCCTTTAAAAAATTTACAGTATTTCATCTAGCAAACTTGCCACTTTGTGAATAAAGACTTCGTCATGCAGATCCCATGGCTACTTTATGCGGTACAACTCACGTGCACTCTGGACAAACATTGTAAATGCAACAGAAAGGTAATGTTCAAATACATGCTTGATATCGCATGCAACAGGCAACAAACATTGCTTCAATTAAATATTCAACGTTTTCTTAACATTTCCTAAATATAAAAGCGACCGAGATTCAGCGGCATTAAAATAGATTCACGGTTTACTAATATTCGTGAATGTGGAAAACAGCATTTTGGGGAAGGACTAATCGTCAAATATAAGACTGTCATATCTTATCACAAACGCGAACGTTTGTGATGCTCGCCGTATTCGCAGCTTTACGGGACTTCAGCCATCAGGTCCCGGTTACTGCTTCGCTGAAGGAAAAACTTACCTCTAAAAGCAGAGCTACCTTTGTCCTGCTCTTCCAGGCAGTATTTCGGTTGCGAGCCGTACTTCGGCTCCTACACGAGAAGCTCGCGGGTGGGAGTGAATGGTTTACGCTTAACCGGCTTGTGAAACAGAGTCAAACTGAAAATCTCAATCTCCTAATCATCAGCGGACATCTGACTCCGGAGCAGGATATAGTGATTCGTTATATGGTTCTACTACGTAACGCTCATTACGCGTCGAGGTCAACGTTGTTCACGCAGTTCAAGCATCATTCTTGATAATTCGGCATAACAACCGTTTCCATGCAATCAACAATAATTACCTGACCGATGCCAGATACATGCAGATTTTTGTGAAAAGGACTACTCATATCTCAGCTAAAATTTTTGACACGTTACCATATGCACTGGAGGTGATAGCGGTCCTCACATTTACTTCATGATTAGATGGTGCCATCGCTGAAGACGATTAAGACTCGTTAAATCCATTGACTTTCTGTTTGTTTCAGCAGCACATTAACCATGTCCGATAGGTTGCTCATAACTTTGGACTTTCTGGTGATAAGGAAAAGGGCGGTTTCACGTCAACGTTGCATACGGAAGCCATCATGTGATGTGATCCGCTTCTTGTGCTACTCATCAAAACAGTATTATCTGTGTACTCCAAGTCAGTAAGATATCGAGCCGGGCATCTCGAACTATGCTTTCCCTCTAAAATGACACTTTCGTATTTACCAGTCAGTACTGTTTCAGACAATAAAGCCGCGAAACAATTTGAATAGCAAATTTGATGGCACATCTCCCTGACGAACTCCTCAGCTGATGGACGATAATTCAGATAGTTCTCTTTCGACTTTAACAACAGATGGAGTTCCTGTACGCATCCTTTTCAAGATGGGAACGAAGTATTCAGGTATCCCTAGTATTTGAAGATTTTCCACATCATAAAGCAACGTACTGACTCAATCAGCCGTGAAATAAATGCAACTGATAAACAAAAAGCTGGAACTGCCAGCACTGCTAATAATCATAAGAAGAATGAAATTCTGATCAGGTCATGAATACTCCGTCCGGAAACCTGCATGATTTTGGCGGAGTTTGCCGGCCTCAATCTTTCCGGAATAATTTAAGAAAACAATTTTACGGTAGTTGACAGCAGAGTAACACTGCGATAGCTGGGGCATTCAATTGTCAGTCTCCTTTAAATATAGGGACAGTTACCACATGCAAGCATTAAGAAGTCCACATTTGAAAAAACTGTGCATGGTGCTTTTCTACAACGCTTCCTCAGCCACTGTTAACTCAGGGGGATTTGATCCACACCAAAAGCCTTTTTGAGATGCAGTAAGGACTTTAGGATTTATAGTTTTGCAGGTAGGTAGGTCTACACTAATTTCTGGTGTTGGAAAGAGGAATTTGTAAGACAGCTGTTGGGCGGCTGCTGGAAATGCTATAGCCCATCTTTTAAGATGCTCTTTTTGATCTTCTAGCGGGACACTCTCAGCACCTTGATAAAGACGAGGCGGGTTTTCTACCGGAAAGCTGTCGTAAATCTTAGAATACAATTTGCTAGTCACCATTTCTGACTGCAACGCAGAGTTCAAGCATTTTTTCCAACATGGTGCCTCTGCACTCCACAGGGCAATGTGTTCTCCGTAATCCAGGACAGTTTAAGTATCCTCCTCCTGGCCCAACTCCGGTTTTGAGTGAAAAAAATGACACCAACTCTGAAATTATGGCAAGGTTAATCGACAATGCCAATCTCCACTGAACACTAAATTAACTCTTTATTTTGCAGGATAGGAAGTCCGCACCGCACCACTTCTTTATATTTTAGGTTGTCAAATCGAGAACCTGATGTTTCAATCTGACGACGTCGATGTGACACGGCTGAATTCAGACAAAGTTCCCCTACGATCATGCGGTGATCGGACCAATGCAGGCGTCACATCTGCTGCAAGTCTCAAGTAACGATCTGCATAATGTGTGACCGATGAAGATGTAAGCCGATTGAGAATTTAGGCTTCCGTCAGGGGACATCAATGCAAATACATGAAAATCGAATAAAAAGCAACTCAACTTTACCTAATGGTCCAAGCCGATAATTTGCAGTAACAACGACCAAACCTTTGCTAGCCAAAACATGACCGGGCCAGTCATTTGCAGAACCTGTCTGAAAACCGCCGCCGTGAAAGAACACAATGACGGGATATTGCCTGGATGAGGATGACATCTGTAAGTATTGTCATAAATACAGAATAAATAAATCACTTGTCTTGCCCGTGGAGTAAAGACGTTGAGGTAAAGACAATCCTCGTCCGTACTAAACTCGTAAGGAACGTCAACGTACAACGTAGAGCGGGAAAAGATGTCCTGTGGGCAAGCAGCTTTGTAACTGGTTGTGAGAAGATCGTCAGCCGGAAAAGAGGAATGCATCCTTGGAGCCTAAAAAAGACGTGAAGTTTAAATAAGGAAACATACTCCATCCAACGTTTAGTAAAGTAAGAACGGCTAAACCTAACCAACGATATGGGTTATGTATACTGGATACGAAAATTAAATTGCATTACCCGAAATTACGTAAAGATCAGAGGACGAAAATTCAGCAATTTACTTAAGACTTGTACTGCCTGTCAGATAACTGAAAAGAAATATCGGCAATATTTTCACGTAGCGGTTCCTAACTGGGGGTATTGGTGCCGATGCAAAGGGTACAAGGACGGTCAGTCAAATCAAGTTCATTGCTTTTCAGCAATTCCAGAGGTGGATCCTAGCCTGACTTGGTCAACTGGAAAGAAAAACTAGAGCTTGACATCGAAAACAGTAGAAAATTATCAGCCCTCATGTTTATCTAAACACTTATTCTCGCAATTTCAGGAGTTAGTGAAAACAGTCGAAAATGACTTTTCCGCTGTATGGATCTAATTAAAACTTGACAGAAACAAAAAACCGAACGTAACGAAGTTTGCCAAGGTTGTAAAACTGCAGTCGATACCCTCACTTGAGATCCATTTCTCATTCAGATCGAGAGATCGCAATAACACAAATTCGCGAAAGTCGGCAAAAGGCCACAGAAAATACTACCAGACGAATTCAGTTCGCAAAGTCATAACATGTATCTAAAGGAGCTGATCAAAGGCCAGATAGCTGGGATAAGGTGAATACCCGGCATACCGTGCTAACGAATCAGTCAATGTTTAATCAATCAGCAGGCAAACCAGTGGAAAAGTCTCAATGACGAAACTGCTGTCCACGTACCCCAAAAGGACGGAAGGCTGAGAAAATGAAATTTTAAAACAACCAATTTTTTAACGAATGAATGAACTAATAGTCAATTAAATTTTCGGCACCCTGCGAAAGGAGATAAAGAGACAACATCAAACGATCCTAGAATAAATACAGCATAAGAGCAGTATAAAACCACACATTAAACTTGGTGATCTCACACACAAGAAAGAAACCTTCAAGCCAAGTGACAGCTGTATACCGAAAGCCCTGTAACTGTGGGGATAACTGACCTGGAAACATATGAAATAAACTCAAAAATAAGAAGCTGGAACACATAACATGCCTTAGCAAAGGTTAGGTTAACACGCAGGTTAAACTGTTGCAAAGCACACACGTTATTCAGTAGAATTCAACAGAAAGTATGTAATGAAAGCGGTTGGAGTACAGGGAAGATTCTGAAAGCACTCCTAACAGAACGAAAGCATAGCGAGATGAAGGAAACAGAAAGAAACCTGTGGTTATCTTAGCATGGCTGCTACTACTATGTCATAACAGGTACCTCTAGTATTTTGTATTGCGCATTTCCTGCAGTTACTGTATTCTAAACTTAATTTCACGTTCTGTTTCAATTATGCAACGAGATCTGACAAAGACAGAAGGAACTTCTAAAACAATCAAACTAAGAATCCCGCTACAATCAACGCTTCAAAAGGAGGCTACCTATACGAGGTTTGCCACTATGAGACAAAATATAGTTGTACCATTCCAATTCAACAGCAGTTGCGCAAACCCGTAGTCTGTGTTAAGCATTCAAACAATAAATGATGAATACTCATCGAAATTAAACAGAGATTATTACACATTAATTACAATACACTAACAAATTCGGTTAAAAACTTCTCCCAGAAGAAACGAATTCAGCTATGTTTCTAAGCTCGTTACTGTTTGCTGCCAACAGAGTGGGTGAGGAAGGGTCGATGTGATGAAAGACGAAACGAACTAAAATATTTCATTTATTTCCGCAAGCAGAACTTAATTGCTTTACAATGAAGAAACGGAAATAGTGCTAAACAACAAAGCTGGTGGAAAGCGACGTTCTCAAGAAGCTAGTTACCTGGAAACGCAAACTGCCCACCGGCGGCTGCGCATAAGGGACGCCGAGGAAAGCAAAGATCGTCACGTTGCGACGCTGCCGCTTCTCGGTGCCATGCGCCTGTTGAGGTGACGTCCCCGGCTCAAAGTCGGTGTCGGGGCTCCAATCGAGGTTCGGAACGACCACTTTTTTGCCCACCAACCTGCCGAGCGCAACGCGTGCTAGCACCTTACCACCGTTGCCACTGTCATCGTCATCGAGCTTAGCGACGTCCGGCGCATCGCTGTCCTTGAAACCCTGTCCGGTATCCGGCCGCTCGTTAATAACCACGTCATATAACAGATTGTGACTGTTTCCCGATGACGAACGGTCATTTTTGGAGTTCTGCTCTTTAGCGCATCTAACCACTGTGAACAACATAAACAGCGACAAACAAATTGAACACCGCGTCAATCTTGGTCTCGTTTTTAACATGTTCTATGAACATTGCGTAAACAAGACTTCGTCCGTCGTTTTCTCTCAACTTTGCCGCTCAACCGCGAAACAATTGGCATGCACTCAGTAACTTTCGCAACGGCAGTGACAACATAACTTGCACACTTTTACCGTATAATTTCTCTAAATACTTTAAAATAACACAGAACAAGATTGAATGCGTTCGACATCACTTTGGTCGAAGCTACCCACCGCCATGATTTACTTAATTTTTTTGTGATACTTTCTAATATTTTAAAAGTTACTGTTCGGTTTTGCGATGTGAATTTATAATTTTTAACTTTGTTTGTTTCGTTTCTCT